ATAACTTTTGGTTTTTCTGTCTATATGTTGCAGTAACAAGACATTAAATTGTCCTGCTTGGAAAATTCTTGTGGAAAAAATCCAAACTCTCATGACCATGATTCAATGATGAAAACAATAAAAGAGGAAAACTTGTCTATAGACTCTGTGTACACATGAGTCAGTCAACGTTAGCAAATCCAGACCCTGTGAGTTTTATAACGAAGCTTTATAATTGCGAAATAACACATTTAAATGTGTGTCACATCTTAACTGAGCTACGTGAAGGAATTACTGATCAGTGAGCTTAATAGTTACGGTTGACCGGCGGTAACAAAGTGTTTATAACCAAATAAAAACGGAAAATCAGCTCATGTGTGGTTCCGGTGAATGTGTTAATAAAAGAGAACTCACCAGCGGTCTGCGGAGCCATCACGAGTTACGGTCACCACTCCCTTCAAAACACTTTAAATGCTAATTTTCACAGTTTATGAACACTTAAAAAAGCTTGTTGTTTTTTCTTCTTTTCCTCGTAAAAAGCAGAACAAATCGGTTTGCTGTTCCCGGAGAAACGCAGTCATGAAACTGACATATTAACGAGCGACTGTGTCGGAGGGGACGACTGGACGGACGGATTTAGGTGACGGACCGACTTCCGCAAACAAAAGGCTGCGTCCTTAAAGGGACAGTACCGGATTTAACAGCTGGAAGTGGCGCTAAAAACCCCAAAATGTCCCGTTATACAGGGTTTAATTAGGCACACACACACGTAGCGTGATTATCCTACCGTTTCAGGAATCAGCAGGACAACAATCCACTCCATCTCCGTAACAACTCCGTGTCTTTGAGTAACACAATAAAGTTTCAGGCTGTGCACAAGATGCCGCTTGTTAAACCGAGATCACAAGTTGAACATCCCCCTTCCCCGCACAAACAGAGGTCTGTGTCCGATCAAACTGCCTCCTCACATATGAACACAAGTTCTGTTCAATAATTGGCTCTTTCTTATCAGGTCATCTTTAAGCCACTTTAAACCCTCCCCGCCGCCACCAAGGCCTATTTTCATTCATTCATGTGTGCAGGCCATGAAAAGGGGAAACAGGCGATGATGCAGAGTCTGTTCGAGGAGTTTTAATGTGCAAGAAGTGCATAAAGAAAACAGTTAATGTCTTGTATGTGAAATTTTTGTGCGTATGTTCGTCAGAGGATGAACCCTACTGACGATCTTAAGACTGGACAACCGTGGAATTGTCTGCAGAGACTCGTGGTCACCACAGGACGATGCCCTGGTGAGCACAACCTCTCTCTAGTGAAATAAAACTGAATCGATTGGACAAACTGGGGTAATTTCTGAACATGCTTGGTCATGGTTTGCATTTGATGAATCCAGATGACTTGATGATGATGGCCCCTACCCGGAGGGTGAATCTCTGCTCATCCCTATCCTGTAAAATATCTTAAAGTCTACAGGATGGACACGGTCAGAAAATTGCACGTGGCTTTTCATGGTTCCCAAATAATGACTTCCAAGAACTCTTCCTCCAACACCCTGAGGTAGTTCTTGGGGTTTTCTTCAGTTCATTACATCCATCTACAGTTATGTATAGATATAGTTTAACATGAAATGATGCCAGAGGGTTCATGGTTCTCAGAGGACGAATACTTACAACCCTGGTGATCCTCTGAATTCAAATTACTTGAACAATCCCTGAACTTTTCTTCGACTGAGGTTGACTTTTTTCACTAAACAACAAAACAAAACTCACAAGCAAGTGAAATTATATACAGAACATAGGGTTCCCAGAGGCTGAATACTTGGAACTCTGGAGATCCTTCCTCTCTGAGATACCTAAAAATCTTCTAGATAAACTGGCTCACCTTTTTTGCATGATTTTCAGATGATAAATCCAAATTACTTTAGCACCAATGCTGGGTTGACGTTTTTGCCTTTCTGTTAAACACATTCATGGTGCCCAGAGGATGAATCAACTCTAGAGATCATTATCTCTAAATGTAATGCCCAAATCTTGCACATTGTAAACTGTTAGGCTGGGATAGACTCCAGCGACCCTACTGAGGATTAAGTGGTGTAAAGGTGATGGATGGATGTAGACTGCTAGCATGCGTGCTAAGACGATGGCGATGGCAGCGGAACATTGCAGCTAGTGGTTAGCTGGAAGCATCACGTTGCTCAGCAACAGACTCTTGATTTTCCCTGAAGAACAATTGGTGTTCTTGGAAGGAATTCAGTAATTTCTATTTATGTTCACGCCAGTTTTCTATGGTCATTTACCAAAATCCATAATCTTTGTGAATAAACACAGTCACACAGTTGGCAGTGAGGTTGATTAGCCGGCGGTTGCTTGGTGGCTGAGCTGCAGCTGTTAGCGACAAGCTAGTTCATCTGCGTTTGGTCCACGATGCCAACAAGCACAAAAACACCAAACAATAAATTAAACAAAGCAGACATTAGACCAAATCGATTTCAATGCAGAGAAAGGACAGAAAAAAGGATTTTGTCCTCATTAAATAATCCTCCAAAGAGCTTTTAATGGCAACAAACTATAACACATTTAAGTTTTTAATCACTTTATGTTAATTATAATAACACGATAATCAGAGCAAAGCTTCAAAATGTTCTGCATTTTAGTAACTACTGGACATTTAAGCTCTTTATGATTGAAAATTTCTGGTCAACTTTAGGAATTTGTGATATTTTGCTTCCATAATATTTCTTCTTTTACATAAGCGGAAAGAAAACTTTCAAAATAAAAGGTTTTAGGTGTTTATTTTACATTTTTATTTTGTTTATTGGACATCCACGCAAATTAGTGCATATTTACTGAGGTTAGAACACTTCTGAGAACTTGTAAGACAAAAAACAACTGTTGTCCTAATGTGACTGATTCACGGGGGAATCGTAAACAGCGGTTTCACCAACACAGATCTTTTCAGGCTATTTTCTTTTTTTTTTTACAAAAATGTTCTGGCTCTGAGTCACAAATCTCCAGACACCAAACTTTCCAGTTTAATTTCTGTTTATATCCTGAAGGTTTTCACAGACAGTTGTTCAATTATCACTGACAGCCCAATTTATACGCATTTGATTCCTAAAAATGTGTCAAAAAAAAGAAAAAGATTATGTTCTCGCTGTTTTCTGATTTACAAAGTGACAAAAAGAAAAATCCAAAATCCTCAATGTAAAAACCTTTGATTCTAATTAAAATTTTGTCCAATGTTCTGTTTTCTGTTCTGCAAATTAGTACAAGTTTCAGCATTTTGCATATATAGCCCTTCATTTGAATATATTTTAACATACAATTTCAGAAAACTTGTAATACAAAGAATGATTATCTTGATGTAAGTTATCAACTCTGGAAATTTTGTGATGATATTTGATAGTTAAAAATAGTTGAACAGCTGAAAATAGAAGGTTTGTGTTGTTTCATTGAGCAGCTTTCTGTCTCTGAAAATAAAATAAACACCTCAACTGAGTCCATGTTGGCCGTTCTGTCTGGTTTTTTTTGTATTTTATATGTTGAGATGTAGTTTTATTTGAAGCACTTGTTTGGATTTAATATTCTTGGAGAGTTAATACCTGGAACCGGGTGACTCAATCAAAGCTGCTTTGAAAAACGTGACTCTGGAGAGTAAAACACTGAACTGAACATCTGGAATTTGTGCAGAACATCATGGAAATCAGTCTGATAGCTGTTGAGACGTTTCAGCTTTATTTTGTTTGTCTGTTGTTGTTTTTTTGTGTGCAGGTAAGAAGAATTAAAGGTGTAATAATCAGAGCTTCAAAGCAGAAGATTCAGACTTTGTTACTCTCAAACTGAAGCTCTTCTCTTAAAACTGTCAAAGTGATGCTTCTTCAGGTTCAAACAGGCCTGAATTTAGATTAAAAAAAACACCAAAAGATCTGCAGCTTTTACAGCATTAATCTGAAACATGTACAATAAATTGAATTTATGTCGTCAAGCAATTTAAAAAAATGCAATAAAAATTCATTAAATTGTAAAATAAAATGTGTTTCACTCATTTAATTTGGTCTCAAAATCCAATCTCTCCTCTTGACTCCAACAATCAGCATCAGGTTAAACTTTTTTCTTGTTAAAATGTCCCCAAACTGCACACAGATGCAATTTTATTATTATTTCTTTTACAACCATATTATTCTCACATTAAAAGCAAACTGGTCGACATTCTGTCTGCACACAAAATCCAGCTGATTTACACCTGAATTTATGGCTTCAACCTCAGAATTTAACATCATTGTTTCCTAAAAATGAAAATATATTCACTGTGATTGCTCCCAAAATGAAAAAACACAACACAGAGGGACAGAAAGAGAGACGGTGTCACCTACCAATTAGAGATGAGTGGAGAAGAAGCAGATGGAAATGTGCTTTATGGTCAGTTTGAAGCTGCAGCCACTTATTAAGGAAAGCAGAGACCCTCCCCTGGGGAGAGAGAGATGCTAACCAGCCTGTAGATGTCCAGGAGTCATGGGAAGTGTAGTGTAGTTAATCATCGTTATCTAGGAGCAGAATCTCAGCAGTTTTGTGGAAATTTAGTGTGAAAGTTATCAGATGACTGAAGTTTATCCTCAGGGGGTCATAAACATATGAAGCATGCACTAAAAAGAACAGCACTTTCTGCAGTTTTTTTTTCTTTAGATCTGTCTTTATTGTACAGAATGATTTGTTTAATCTTTAAATTACAGACATTACATTTGTAATTACATCTACAAAAGCAGGCAGTATGTTTGCATGTAGAAACCTGCAGATGTGAAGAACCATTAAATTCACTTTTTTTTTAAAAATAAAAGAAAATAAATTTAGCATAGCTTCACAAACATTTTCTGTACATGTTTACAGATTAATATGCATATTTATAGATTCAGATACACATTCATATTAAATATATTTGATTAATATATACATGTTTGCAGATTAGCTTACATATTTATATAATAATATACATATATATAGCTTTATCAATGTTTACAAATTCACATATCTGACTGCCACATGTATCGAGTTAAATTTACACATTTAAAATAATTATTAAAACAGAAATAAACTCGCATTTTAAATTTTCGCTCTATTTTGTTCCTCTTGACTTTCCGTAGTATTTACATCAGGCGTAGCCAATATGGCGTCGGTCAGTTAGCCGGTTAGCCGGACACAGCGACGTTTTTAAAGTTATTTTCGTTTACCCGTCACACTTAAGGCATTTACCGGCGTCCTTGTGAAGGATTACGTTTTGGAATAATGTCGGACTGTTTTAGAGTCAACAGGTTTTGCGTGTTTTTGTCGGACGATGACCTTTTCTCCCCCAGACGTCTCGCTGCTAACGCGGCTAGCAGCTAGCCGTTAGCTCGCCGCGGGAGCGTTCCGGGGGAACCATGACGGAGGCGGAGGAGCTGCGGCCCGTTCCCCGGGAGAGGGCCATCCTGGAGAGCTTCTTCACGCAGCTCGGCATGTTCTCCTTCGACCGGGCCAAGGACTACGTGGAGAAGGAGAAGGACAACAGCAAGAGCGCCGGCGCCATCTGGAGCGCGCTGCTGGCCGCGCTGGCTCACCTGGCCGCGGCCGAGAAGGCGTACCACAACATGACATTCCTGGGA